AACGGACAGAGGATCAACTACTGTTGTTTTATTTACTCCTATTATTAAGAAATGGAAATATGAAATTATTGTTCTAACTTAAGTCACAATTAGAACAAAATTCTTTATTTGTTGAAAAAAAAGATTTTCAGCAAAAAAAACAAAGCTGAAACTTTGTTGTGAACTTATGCCAAATTCAACAGATAGGTCTTGGTGAAAAAAGAGGAAGAAACTGAAAAAGCTGATAGATTTTCTCTTTCTGTTTCAATACAGTGTTATGAACTTAACTTTTGCACCAATTAACCTTTCAAAATAGTTTAACACAAGTCATAAAATAAATGAAATATTTCATTCAACTCAAAGCATTTTAATTTTTTAATTTTTGCCCTGAAAAGTCTTGTCGCAACTTTAATCACAGTAAAATATATTTCTTCCCTGCTGCAATATATGAATGCAGTAACTCTGTGAAGTACAGGAGATACCTATTATTGTTATCTTGTAACATCTGTGCTTCACCACTCTGCGGAGAGGTGGATCTCTTTCTGTAAGAATAAAGGTGGAATATCTCAGCTGATTTCAACAGAGTTACTCAGAATATATACCAGAGTGGCAGCTGTCAGAACCCAGCCATAGACCAGTATCAGAAAACTTGCTAATTGTTGACTACAAAATAAGGAACAAAGAACTAGAGTAACTGCAGGATAGTATGTAAAGATTTAATGATATGAACTTAGTCTTCCTGTTCTGGTCGTGAAATGAAGATGGTGAGAAGAAGGATGAGCCAAATGTGAACAAAAGGAACAACATAAAGCAGCAGAGCTTTAGTACATGCGCTCCAAAGAGTGACCTGCCGTGCAGGCACCAAATGAAGTGATTAGATTGTGCTTGCAGTTTTTAAAAATATGACTCTATCTTGGATATCTAATATTGAACTGACAAGTTTTGAAATCACTGGTCCTGTATATTATTCTGGAGTAGCTAAATCTCTGGCTCTGAACTCATGAAAATTTGGCCTTAAGTAACACTTTGGAGATTTTCTAGTTTCATGAATAACAAGCTAAATGAACTCCAAGCACTTCATGAAGTGGTAGAGGATCATTGTATCCTGTGTAAATACTGAAAAAATCAACAGATACAATGGGTGCTAGTTTAAAAAAAATCAACATTAATGAACTTTAATAAGGTGTGTCTTGTTACCTGTAAATGTAATACATACCTGTGTGAGACTTCTTTAAAATACTCATCAATGAGGCTAATCTAATTGAAGCAAGGCAGCTTGGTGTGGAAAGAGCAAACCCAGATCGCTAAAAATGGGCTGTGCAGTGTGGTTCTGGGCAGACTTGCTCAGATTAGCTGGCTAGATAGATGTACTTATGTGATACAGAGTGTGAGTTAATGAACTGAGAAGGCTTTTAGCTTGGACGTGGTGCAGATGTGGTGCTACTGCTCCTGGCAACGAATTGTCCAGAGTGGAGTCTGTTTGAATGCCAAATGGACTTTCTGAGTGAAACCCCTGGGCACAAAACGATAATTGCCGATGAAATTTTTTTTCCTCTAAAAATTTCCAACCAATTCTTCCAATCTCGTGTTAGTTTCAACACGAAAAAATCTTTCTGTGAGAAAACATTATTCTAGTGGCTAGTCAGCCACCTCAGCCAAAAGTTTGATGTGCTTTCATTATTTGCATTTAATCATAGCTTCGTTAGTTCCAGCAGACTCTCTGAAAGTTATCTTTCATATCAATTGAAAGATTTTTGGAACTATTAGAAGATGATAAGACTCATTTTAGGTTAATCTATATATTGGTACAGAACTGTGCTTTCTAAAACCTGAGTATTTCCTGTTTTTTTCATAGACAGCCGTGTGCAACAGAGGCTGTGACTAATGCTCTTCTGTTTAACCTCACAGGCAAGGAATTTTCCACAACTTTCCTTAGCTATATATCTACTTTTAAATAAAGTGAATTCATACTTCTGACAGCCAGATATTAATACTCAGCTTATAGAACATTAAAACTGTGATATAAAATGCTGGAAATGTTAAGTCAGGGTTGATGCTCTCTCTTGTAATCACTTGGCTTTGTGTCTTGTCACATGCTTGGCATGAATTTTCAGATTAACTGTATTAGGATTTACAGTTTCATGTATTTCAGTACTTCATCTTTCGCCTCTAGCAAATGTGATGATCTCTTCCACCACAGAACTGCTCACCAGGGTAGCAGTCTCTTGTGACAATACTGAAAAGTGTACCAAAGACATGTACCTCAGGTGGAATAATATTTCAGATTGACTTTGAGGAATATTACACATGCTCACATCTGCTTCTGGCTACTCTCTGTTAGCGGAGGGGAGGAATTTAAGAAGACAGTTTCAAATTCAATTTATATATGTGTGTGTGTATATGTATTTTTTGTGTATATATATATATGTATATATATATGCACATATAAATTAAATGAAAAGTTTAAGAGTCTTGTTTGAGTGAGATTTGAAAGCTGGAGAATAAAAGTACACCAGCAACACTTTTAATGTTCAGATATTAGAAAGAGAAGTAAAAGTGTTCTATTTTATTTCTTTCAAATAAATGTCAGCTTTTTAAGAGCTAAGCCATTACATTAAAAAAAAAAAACCCAACCTAAACTAACCCAGATTCAACTTAACAAAAACTGTAAGTATCTTGAGAATAGAAATGAGAAGAGAAATCTGTTCTTGTCAGCAGAGTGACAGCAGCTTCTTTTTTGACTGTAGAGATGAGGAAACTAAAAACGTATTGTATTTTTTAACAAAGGAAGAAGCAAACCGAAACTCTTTTGACATAATTTTACTTTGCGATCTCTGGTTTTGAGGAATAGTTATAAGAAAATGAAAAGGACTAAGTATTCTTTGGAGGCTCAATTTCGTCTAATACATTGAAAAAATGCTTCGTACAGTCAAAGCTCAGTGAGTGTGAGCGTTGTTAGTGTTTGGTGTTTCTGTTTTACAGTATGTTTGGTAGTGGCTAACATAATGGAGTCAAAATCAAAGTGATTCAGACAGTGCCTTGTGTAATGCTTAATACTGCTAACTGATCCTGGCAACCAGTGTTTGAGCCTCTCTTCTTCTATCATGAGCTGTTTAGCTGTTTTAACTAGCAATGCAGTATAGAAAAATCTCTTTTCTCCACTCCTCCAGGAAGGCCTAAAATCAAGGAAATTTAACAGAAAAGTTCTAGGCAGCAGGCATCTTGAAAATAAATCAGCAGGGAGAAGACAACAGATGGCAGACATCTGGGCATGTAAAAACCACATCTCTTGGGGGGCAGCCTGTGAGACATCATCTCCAAACCGCTGGACGAGAACCCATGACGGGTGCCCCCGAGAAGCTAGGTCCAGCCCAGGGGCAGTGCAATGTATCAGGCCAAAGGAATGGGCAGCCCCCATTCACCGTGGTTTGGCCAGATCACCTCTGCAATGATTTGCTTCCCAGCGCTAGTCCCATAAGGTCTGCCTCCGTGTTTTGGCTTCTGCTCTGCTAGGCTTTCAATGTGGTTACGTCCCCATGCACAGGCAGAGTCTGTGACTGCTCTGTGCATCCTCGTGCATCGTGCCCAGCGCAGAGACAAACTGGGGGCTCCTTCTTCTACTTCAGGCACCTGATGCTTAGGTATCCAGCTCAGAGGTTGGTAAAAAGCTTATTGAACTTGCATAACTCTGTGTTAGCAAGTCTCTGCCCATTTTTCCTGACTCGCAAATAGAATATTTCATTTGCGAACACTGGGAAAGGCTCCCTCAGTAACTGACATATTTGACAGTCACACTATACCTCAAAGAGCTGTACTGGCTTGTTAGCAGCAGTCGGGATTTTTGCAAAGTTGTATTTTTAGCATAGAGACTAAAAAGAATGACTTGACATGTAGTACTCTGATCACAACCTTACTCTGAGCATGATAGGCTGCTTAATTTATGACCTCTTCTGGAAAAAATCAGTATAGAATACTTAACAACGTCAAAACTTCTCTACAAGGAATACACAGAACCCCCCAAAATGCTGAGTGAGCATTTATTAATAGTAGCTCCGCGTTTTTGATTCCACAGTATGATCGATGCTCTAATTTTCGCTCCAGTTTTTATTTCAAGGATTTTTAGGTGCTATCATTAAAGTCAAAGATATAGGGCTGTAGTGAAAATACACTAGCAGACTGGTTTAATAACTAAATATTATCCATTATATTTGGATCAAAGAAAGAATTTTCTGTTCTGGAACATTCATTATGTGAAATCATTTCTAGAGGACAATGACAGTATATTTAAATCTATCTGTTTGATGAGTGTCCATGTGTCTCCTTTTTGACTCATTTAGGCATGTGGCCAGTGATGAGTATTTCTAAAGGAAAAGATAGAAATGTGTATTTTAAAAATCAAACAAAATATATCGAAGTCAGTGAATCAGTAAAAGTTTTATTCCACCTTCTCTATATTGTCTCTTTCCTACTTTCCTCTTTTCTTCTTATTTCTCCTACACCTCTACGTGCCTATTTACCCTACACGGTATCATCTACCCCTTCTAACTAATTATTACAATGAAGAGGGGGAAACTGAAGCAAGTAGAACGTGAGCTTGCTGTTATCCTCATTTGTTGGCTTGCACGATATTCTGTACAAGTATCTTCTCAATTTTTCTTTCTTCTTTTTTAGAAGCATTTTCTAGTGTAGGAAAAGTAGATGTGCTAGATACCCTGTGTTCCATATAAGGTGGGAATTGACTCTACGTAATAAACGTCTTGCCTTTTTTAGCCTTTGCTAGACTGACGCTCGTGGCTCTGTAGCAGCTTGAGCGAACTCAGCTAATACCACTGTAAATGCTTGTCTAGACACTTCATGGATGGTTGTGGTTTATATTCAGACTCCTCCTAGGATAAGCTGTGAACATCTATGTCCTGGAACAAATGTTTCAGGTTATCATTTGTATAGTGGTAGCTAATTTTAATTGTCATTACTTTGCCTTGTCGCAGAAGTGCTAACTCTGTTCTCTGTGTGCTGTGGAGTCAAAAGGTGATGCCATGGTGAGAGAGACCTCCCTTTTCCACGTGCTGTCCCATGATGCAGTAGCTCGTCAGGCCTTTGGAGTGATTCAACATCATAGGTAAGAATACATATTTGATATTTTAAAAAAATATAAATTTCAATTGATCAAAAAAGGCTAACATGAAATAAATCTACTGAACATTCAAAGGCTGTAGCAAAAAATGTCTTGAATGAAACATTTTTTCTAAATGGAGCTGCCTAGTGTTGCTAAAGAATGTTGTAACATTTCCTCTTCTCTTACAACATGCATATTTGTCAGTACTCCTTCCTACTGTAAAATGAGGTAGGTAAATGCTATTTCTCTGTACCATATTGCCTTAAATTTGGGGCACTAGCACAAAAGCAAAAAATAAATTCCAGAAACACTTATTTGGCAATTTCATTTCCCTTATCTAGTAGGTTTCTCGTCTCTCTCTCTCTCTCTCTCGCTCTCTTTTTTTTTTTTAAACTTTAAAAAGGTATACTCACCTCAGTCTTTTTATCTGTTTTTTCTTTAATCCTAGGCACATAACTAACTGTTGAATAGAAGTATATCAACACAGTTGAATGCTTTCTGTGGAATTATCCATCAGGTTTTATGCTACATTGGGGGATTAACTTATATTGCACATTTTTTCATATATATGAGTTTGTCTACAGGACAAAAAACATCACAGAATTTTTTATTTTAATTCAATGAATGATGGTAAGGATTTTTTCTTTCTTTTTGCAAAGGATACGAAACAATAAAAATCCACAGAAGAGAAAAACCTGTCAATACAAAGAGTATAGAGTCTTTCTAAAAACTAGGTAGCATTGCTTTGTATCTAAATAAATGTTCTATGAATCTTCTATGTGACACAACTAATAATGGATGTGGTGGGAGGGGGGCAGAAAGCCATGGAGGGCAGCATTTTACAAATCGCTCAGCTGTCTGGTAACTTTCCTAATTTCTATCATAAAGATGATGGAGGAAAAAAATTCCTTTAGGTTTTTTATTTTTATTTATATTCTTTCTGACTACATTTTCATGTATAAAACCCACAGGTTAACTTAAAAAAAATAGCCAAACAAAACCCACATTGTAATGGAGCAGCGGTGCAGGTTACATACGTGTAGGTAATGCAGAGCATTTTCCTTTCAGCAGCATCCCTTCTATGATCCTTTTGTAGCCTTCTCAGCTTCTCTCAATCTTCCTCCTACCAGATATTTCTCCCTGCTTATGCCTCTGATATTTTATGGGGGTTATCTCAAGCTGTAGATTGCCGAGACCTTATTTTCAAATCCTGTCAACTCTAAAAAGATCTAGGTTGTCTGGGTTGCGGATTATGTGTGTGAAAAGATAGCACTTACACAACAAACCTGTCGGCTCCCAGATAACTAGAGGATACAAACAACTTCTTACATTTACCCCATTCTTATGTCTTAACGTGCGTCTGGTGTGTTGTTTACCTCTCATGGTGGGTGTGTAACATACATTACTAACATTTCCACTTAACTATAGTCTTAATGTATATTTTGTAAAGACCATGGCTTTTTAATCCATTGGTTTCTGCTCTTACAGTACTGCCAGATTCCATGAACATACCCCTGATTTATACCGCACTAAGGGAGACTATAGCAAGCAACGCAGGGTCTCTGTATGGATCTAGGGAAGTGATTAAGTTACTCTGGTAAAAAGTTTCTCCTGTGTAGCTGGGCGCTGGTTAATGTGTGCCCACTGTGATTATAAACTCAGAGTGTGATCATTTAACCACTTTCCCCGGCAACTGAGGCTGCAAGCGGCTTCAGTTCATGCACTGGACTTTGCAATTAGGCCAGAGGGAGCTCTTTTCAATTTGCAAAACTGAATCCAATTCAGCAGTGCAGAGGGCTATAGTGTATGTTCTGACGATGAAACCTGGTCGTTGTGGGTCATTCTGGGAAGTGAAACGGTGCTGTGTTGTTAATGATCGAATCACTCAGAACGGGGAGATTCTGCTATATGAAATGGGGGATACCAGAGACAAACACTATGTGCTATTACGAACTGTCAGCGGTCGTCTCTGACCTCTAGTAGTGCAGAGCTGGGCTAGGCTGAGCAGAGCCAAAGCCCCTATGAGGCTTTGGGGGTGCATGGGTGGGAAGCACCACCCGGGCCATCCCAGTGCATCGTGGTTGGAGCAGCTGGAGCCAAGCTGGCTCTCTGGAGCCAGGCTGGGTCTCCCCTCCCAAATTCCTCTGCTGGGGGAGCGCTTCCGAGCTTGGGCACGATGCCACAGGGATGTGCAGAGACAGCCTGGGTCTGACACTGTGCCCTAGCGAATAAGCCACAGCGATCGCAGCATGCAGGGCCTGGCATGTGCAGTCAGAGGGGCTAAACAGGAGCTGGGACTGAGCAGCATTGCTTGGTGCCAGGGCTATCCCGGGCTGAAGCTGCCAGGGCTATCCCGGGCTGAAGCTGTGCAGGGATTTTTGGATGCCTCTGCTCTATGCTCCTTGGTGCTCCTGGGCCTGGGAGGACAGTGCAGACACCAGCACAATATCAGCTAACCCCTGGCATGTCTTATTGGCTGGACCAAGTGCCAGCTCTGCTCAGTGCAAGCTCTGGACAGCCTTTGCAAACAGCATAGCCTTGTTGGTGCAGCGCTGTTTCCGAATGAGCAAGCCCACCGGAACTGTGCCACTCCAGCATGGCACCAGCTCGGGTGTCTCCCCACTCCTGACAGAGTAACTGCAGATTGAGAAATCCACCCTGCCATAATTGTCAGCTTCAAAATCTGAAGAATGCTAATATAAAAGCTACTGCTGTCAAGGCCAAGAGGCCTCTGAGTTATTGTGCCCACAGTTAGCTAGGAGAGGGAGATGGAGTGTGTTTTTAAGGTATATTCAGATGTATTTGGCAAACTGGGATTTAGGTTCTGTAGATGAAGATGAGGAAACCATGGACAAGTTAGAATGAAATACACTGGTACTTTGAGGAGGACCAGTACAGGAATGAGCTGAGGATAGTTCCTAACTAGTAAAGGATTCTGATTTATGGGCTTTGACATAGCAAAAGGCTTGTGTAATATCTAAGCATCTGTTTCAAATATGATTTTTTAGCTTGAGATTTGTTATTGGGAAGCAAAAAAAAACATGTCAGTTAACCCAACCCCCCAAAAAAGCCTTTGAAACAGTTGAACGTGGCCAGTTTAAACCAGCTTAGGTAGCAAAATTTATGTCCTCCAGCTTTTGCCATGTGTTGCATAATACATTACATATAACTCTGCCTAAATTAATTAAAAAACAATAGAAAACATGCAGATTGTCACAACGGAGGAACGTGTTTTTTCCTTATTAGTATATGATGGGGGCCGTAACTTTGCATCTTGACTGAACATTATTAAATCAAGTAGAGAGTAAGCAGAGTTAAAAACTAAGTCAAAGCTTTAATTAAATCCACAGCAGTTTGTGTTTTTCAAAGTATTGGGGAAGAGGCAGTGTATGATGTATTCCCTTGGCTGAAGAATTTTCAAGTTCCAGCTGGACAGCACTTTAATTAAGTTCTTTTTTTCCCTTTTCTCAGCTGAGGTCCCACTTCACAGCAATTTTGAATCAATCTTAAAAGTAATGTTTTGGAAAAGATAGCTTCCTCACTGTGTGACTGTTAAATGGGTTTTCAGGAGGTTGCAAGCCTGCAAACTTGCACCTCTAGCTAGCGTGGTTTACTAGGGCTGCAGCCTCCCTTTCCAGCCTGTTCCTGGGGACAGCCGGCATGAAGACTGTGAATTTGGGAAGCGTGTCCCATGTGAAGACTAGTGCACAATGCATGCATTTATGAAGCTAATTCTGTCTGTGCTGTTTGCCAGCTCTAGTGTGTTACTGGGGATCTGCTCAATAAAACGGTAACACTTGCAGAGCAAGCCGTTTGTCTCTGGATAGCTGACAAACTGAGAGAAGCAGTATCATTAGTGAACAAGAGCCCAGAGTCCCCTCCTTGTCATCCTCTCACACCAAACTAATAGTTAACAGTCAAAAAGACAGCAACTGGTTTGGACATTAAAGCTGAAAGAATTTGTAGAGCTCCCTGAGAGCCCAGTTCAAGGTTTTCCTCGGTTCTGACTTCACGGGTGTGGGTTAATCTTCACAGGCGCTTTGCAGGGAGAGACCTATTGCTAGTGACAGTCAAAGCCACAGCTTCTTTCCAAATCAGACCAAGGCAAAGGCCTTTTACAGAGCATTTCAGTGGGTAAAATATGTCTAGTGTTATGTGTGTAGTAACAATAAATTCTTTTCCATCAGTTTGGATTTTGAGAGAATGGTACTGGTCAAATAGCCTTTGTAAGTTTATCATTTGGGAAGTCTCTACTGCAAAAATAGATGCAATGCATGGGTATTAAAACCATGTTTTAAATTTATGACTTCTTCTTTAGCGGAAAATGGCAGAATTAAGACATACAGGGTGTCAATTAGCAGATTAATAACGTCTAAAGCAGCAATGTGTCTGGGAGTTTGACACATCAAAGAAGCCATGCCACAGCACATCACGTGCAACGTGAGGGAGCATGATGTTTCTATTATTAAATTAAGTTTGAAACACAAAGATTTCTTTCTCTGGATTTTGGTTTAGTGAGTTTCGCTTTTCTTCTCTTGTTGGCATTGTATATAGGAGAGCTTGGATCTCAATGGGTTTTGTGAAAGCTTCTGTTAAGCCTTAAAATGCTCTAATACAGTTTTTTGAGACTTCAGAGGCAATACTACTGCCATTTTTTTTTCTTTTTGTTAGTGTTATTTGTAGTGTTACCTCTAGGACACAAGAATAAGAGGAAGCCTGGAGTGGTGGTATAGTTGTTGAGTTCTCTGTCCTCCTTGTTGAGACAGAGTATGGCAATGCTGCAGTGCAGAGACACCCGAGCTGGCGTTAAACTAATTGCTTGGAGTACAGGAAACACGCTGGCTACAGCAGAGTGGAGTCCAGTAGATTCCGATTTTCCTTGCCAAAAAGCTTAGCAGCCTGGGCACCAATGAACCAATAACAATAAACAGCAATATCCAGCAGGATAGGATTTTATGGGGAAGTTTGTTTTTCTGAGATTTTTCATGTCCCCCACACTGCTA